AAAAACTTTAAACAACTTCTTCTGAATAACCAAAATGCACAGGGTGATGATATTTGGCCAGTAGCATGCTAAGATGAAGGGGTAAAAAGTTTGTTCAAATGAATGACCTTCACTCATTTTCAAGGTCACAGGGGTCAAATATGTTTAAAACTTTAAACAACTTCTCCTGAATAACCAAAATGCCCAGGATGATGATATTTGGCCAGTAGCTAGCTAAGATGAAGGGCTCTAAAGTTTGTTTAAATGAATAACCTTCACCCATATTCAAGGTCACAGGGGTCAAATATGTTAAAAACTTTAAACAACTTCTTCTGAATAACCAAAAAGCCCAGGGTAATGATATCTGGCCAGTAGCATGCTGAGATAAAGGGCTGCAAAGTTTGTTCAAATAAATGCCCTTCATCTATATTCAAGGTCACAGGCGCCAAATATGTTAAAAACTTTTAACAACTTCTTCTGAACAACCATAATTCCCAGGGGGATGATATTTAGTCAATAGCATACTAGGATCAAGTGCTACTAAGTTTGTTTAAATGAATAACCTTCACCCATATTCAAGGTCAGAGGGGTCAAATATGTTAAAAACTTTAAACAACATCTTATGAACAACCATAATTCCCAGGGTGATGATATTTAGTCAGTAGCATACTAGGATCAAGGGCTACCAAGTTTGTTTAAATGTATGACCTTGACTCATATTCAAGGTCACAAGGAGCAAATATGTTTAAAATATTTCAACAACTTGTTCTGAATAACCAAAAGGCTCAGGATGTTGATATTTAGTCAGTAGCATATGCTGGGATCAAGGACTACTTTGTTTGTTAAAGTGAATGACTTTGACTTATATTCAAGGTCACAGGGGCCAAATTTGTTTAAAATCTTTAAACAACCTCTTTTAAATAACCATGGGTCCCAGGATGTTTATACTTTGCAAGTTGCATCCTAAGATGAAAGGCTATACAAATAGGCTATCCTAAATACTGATATTTTGCCCGTAGCTTTATTTTAGATCACTTTTAAGGTTACAAGTGTGAGTTTTATACCAGGTGAGCGATGCAGGCCCATTGGGCCACTTGTTTTTGTTTTCTTAAGAATTCCTTTATATATTTCCCTCAATTTATCGCAAAACCCCTTTATAATGCCAACATTTCTCTGAACAAATGGTGGCAGTATAACAAGGTTTTACTGTAGTGTTTAATTGATACAATATGATATAAATATTGATACTCTAGTATAAGACTTCTAGTACGGTACTGTAAAACTTGTTATTTTGGAGGTACAATGTAATATTTTTTCTAGGAAAAAAATACATACTGCAAAATTACATAACCCATCTTTACCGTAGCACTGAGAGTCGTTGCCAGTACACTGTAGTTCTGAAACCCGCGAATAACAGATCCCACATAAACAATTATGTGGGAAAACCTTGAAAATTGTAGATCACCAGAAAATGACTTTTACAGTGTTTTTCAAACACAAATAAATAATGTTATCAATGAAAACACAGGTTTTGTTCAACCAGATAGAGAGAGGTTAGCCGGTGTTTTGAATATTTGACCGTCATATCATTAACATGTAAACAGTATTGTAACATATGGTGTCCAGTGTTTATTTGACCAATATGACCACAGCATGTAAATTAACTCTTTCACCCCTGAAGACACATTTGAACTCTTCCCTCTTCCAGTTTAAAGGTTGGAATAGTTCATTATGAACTTTCTGGGGTGAATGAGTTTAGTAAAAGAGAGAAACAGTTAATATACTTCGTTTAGAAGCATATTGGAGGCAATTATTTTTTGAAGGAATCTCCAATATTTTCACCCTTAGGATTGTAATATATTTCGAAACCAGCAGATTCATTATTTGATGGGTTTTTTTCTTTGGAAAGTCTAATCCAAGACATTCTGTGCTACATTTGTATGGTAAAGGCAAGGATGAACGTGTGCTGGATTTTGGTCCCAGTTCCTTTTGACAAGATTTCTCTACTTTCAATTAAAAGATGGAAATTAATCATATTTTGGTTTGCTTGAATTTAGGAGGTCAGAGGTCAATATAGTTTTCTCAAATACTCGAGAGTTGACTTATGGACAGAATTTCTCACATATAATTGAAAATTTGAATACACTATAGGTTAAATTTCGATTCATTTAGTAGAAATATGACTAAAAGCAATTGCTTAACAAACAAACGAAATTATGTCATAGATGCAGGTCAAAGGTCAAGGTATTACAGTGAAATTTATTTATCAACTGAATTTTTTGTAATTTTTACCTTACGAAAATATTAGGCTTTGGAAAATGACACCCATTTGGTGACAAGAATTATACATTTTGTTTTTATTTTGCCTTGCACATCAGCGTAGTAACAAGTGCATATACATGTATATTACTTAGTAATCTTTCTTACATTAACTGTGAATCTCCTGACTTTAGTAAACTGCTGTCTCTCATCAGAACTCGGAGAGCACATGGCTCACAGTGCCATAGAATGTAACATTTCAGACAATGTTTTTTAACACGATTTCTTAGATGTTGATGAAACGTCAAAAAACATACCAATGGTAATCAATAAGTGGAGAGAATTGTACCTTTTTCATAATCGGATTCAAATTTCATTATTTTGTTAATGTTTTTAATAAACTTATTTTTAATATTCAACATTGTTGCAGTGGTTAATATATCTGCTAATAGAATCTTTCGATCCTCAAGGGTCGAGATTCCACATCACGCCTCAAGAACACCTGGTTTTATTCTCCTTGTACTTTTTCAAGCGTCTCCATGTAACCTTTGTTCATATTTTGCCCTAGTTTTATCGATTCTGTGTTTGAATTATTGCTCTGTTGACACTTCAGAATATTTATTTATTTTTTTAACCCTAATCCTAAAGGTGTCCATCGTCTGTTCGTTTGTAGCCAACTCTTGCTATAAAGTTCTATTTTGAGCAGAATATATATAACTGAGCAGACCATTTTAGGACCACAGTGACTCAACACTTCATGAAAATATTTTGGCAAAAGATGAATAAAAGTAAGGCTTGCGTAGAGACCCCTGAAAAAGTAAAAGGATAATAAGACCATGTGTTCCAGAAGGGTAAGCGTCTTCTGCGTCATGCTGATGATTTTCAGGTGAAGTGCAGCTTCGTAAAGAATGCATTGTAACCTAGAGGAGTGGCTCAACAAGTGGAGATGGGTTGTGTCTTCGAGGATCTGGCAGGAGATCAAAGACGCCGTCTATCTTCGCAAGAGAGTGTTTCTGTATCTTTGAGGGTCTGACAGGGGATCCCAGACCCCGCCTGTCTTGCAAGAGATCGGTTCTGTGTCTTTGAGGGTCTGACAGGGGATCCCAGACCCCGCCTGACTTCGCAAGAGATTGGTTATGTATCTTTGATGGTATAGCAGGGGATCCAAGACCCCGTCTATCTTCGCAAGAGACTGGTTCTGTATCTTTGAGGGTCTAGAAGGGGATCCAAGACCCCGCCTGTCATCGCAAGGGATGGGTTCTGTGTCTTTTAGGGTCTGCAAAGGGATCCAAGACCTGCCTTTCTTCGCAAGAGATTGGCTCAGTTTCTTTGAGTGTATGACAGGGGATCCCAGACCCTGCCTGTCTTCATAAGATATTGGTTCTGTGTCTTTGAGGGTCTGACAGGGGATCCCAGACCCTGCCTGTCTTCATAAGATATTGGGTCTGTGTCTTTGAGGGTCTGACAGGGGACCCCAGCCCCTGCCGGTCTTTGCAAGAGATGGGTTCTGTATATTTGAGGGTTTAGCAGGGGACCCCAGCCCCCGCCTGTCTTCGGAAGAGATTGGTTCTGTATGTTTGAGGGTCTAATGGGGGATCCCAGACCCAGCCTGTCTTCGCAAGAGATTGGATCTGTATCTTTGAGGGTTTAGCAGGGTATCCCAGACCCCGCCTGTCTTCGCAAGAGACTGGTTCTGTATCTTTGAAGGTCTAGAAGGGGATCCAAGACCCCGCCTGTCATCGCAAGGGATGGGTTGTGTGTCTTTTTGGGTCTGCAAAGGGATCCAAGACCTGTCTTTCTTCGCAAGAGATTGGCTCAGTGTCTTTGAGTGTATTACAGGGGATCCCAGACCCTGCCTGTCTTCGCAAGAGATTGGTTCTGTATCTTTGAGGGTCTAATGAGGGATCCCAGACCCTGCCTCCTGTCTTTGTAAGAGATGGGTTCTGTATCTTTGAGGGTCTAGCAGGGGATCCAAGACCCCATCTATCTTCGTAAGAGATTGGTTCTGTGTCTTTGAGGGTCTAGAAGGGGATCCAAGACCCCGCCTGTCTTCGCAAGAGATTGGTTCCGTATCTTTGTGGGTCTGACAGGGAATCCAAGACCCCTCCTGTCTTCGTGAGAGATTGGTTCTGTATATTTGAGGGTCTGACAGGGGATCCAAGACCCCGTCTATCTTCGTAAAAGATGGGTTCTGTATCTTTGAGAGTCTGACAGGGAATCCAAGACCCCTCCTGTCTTTGCAAAAGATGGGTTCTGTATCTTTGAGGGTCTGGCAGGAGATCCAAGACCCCTGCATATCTTCGCGCGAGATGGGTTCTGTGTCTTTGAGGGTCTGACAGGAGAGCCAAGACCCCCGCCTATCTACGCAAGAGATTGGTTCGGTGTCTTTGAGGGTCTGGCAAGGGATCCAAGACCCCTCCTGCCTTTGCAAAAATTGGATTCTGTATCTTTGAGGGTCTAACGAGGGATCCCAGACCTCTCCTGTCTTTGCAAGAGATGGCACTTATCCACAGTGCCTGAAGATTAACCTAGTAATAACTGATAATACAGATTTGTCCTTTAATGAACTGATTGATTGGGGGCCGCGGTAGCCGAGTGGTTAAGGTGTCTGACATTTTGCCAGTTACTGGCCACAGGTCAGAGTATTTTTTAATCTCTGGGAACTTTGGCTTTCCTCCACCAGACATAGGACATAGGATGTAAAACCCGAACAAACCAAACCAAACCAAAACTGATTGATCAGAGATAAGATAAACAGGATGTAGTTTTTAACTTTTATTAGAATACTTTTCCATGATTGCAGCCATTCATGATTAAGTTACAGAATGACAGAAGCAAGCTTGTTTATAAACATGCTCATTCTTTCTTCTCTAGTTTGCAAAATATCCAACAAGTTCCTGAATGCATTCAGAAGAGTTTAAATTACAGTAGATACACTATAATAGTTCTATATACAACAGGAAGGAGCCACGTAGGGCACAAGCACTTACTACATACACAATATATATAATATATATACAACACAGGGATAACTAAACAACCTCCGCCCAAATTGAACCAGTACTGACCAGCAGGACCCCACCAACACTGGTACAGGCCAGGCAGTCTCCACAGACATTGGTACTGGCCAGAAGGACCCCACTAACACTGGTACATGCCAGGCAGTCTCCACAGACATTGGTACTGGCCAGAAGGACCCCACCAACACTGGTACATGCCAAGCAGTCTCCACAGACATTGGTACTGGCCAGAAGGACCCCACTAACACTGGTACATGCCAGGCAGTCTCCACGGACACCGGTAATGTGGCCAACAGCTTCCACCAACACTACTACTGGCCAGGCAGCCTCTGCCCACACCAGTACTGGCTAGGCAGCCACCTACGACATTAGTACTGGCCTGTCAGCGTCCTCTCACACCAGTACTAGCCAGGCAGCCACCTACGACATTGGTACTAGCCTGTCAGCGTCCGCTCACGCCAGTACTAGCTAGGCAGCCACCTACGACATTGGTACTAGCCTGGCAGCGTCCGCTCACACCAGTACTAGCTAGGCAGCCACCTACGACATAAGTACTGGCCTGTCATAAGCATCCGCTCACACCAGTGTACTGGCCAGACAAGACTGTGCCCTCAGCGGGAGTTGCAACACCAGTATTGGCCAGACTGTCTCTGCCCAAACCAGTACTGGTGGTACTGGCTTGGCATCCTCTGTACACATCAGTACGGGCCACACAGCCTCTGTTAACCGCAGTATACTGGCCTGGATTTGTGGGGGCTGTGATATGTGTGTGTGCATTAGGTTTTAATCATTTTTTTAAAGGGGATTGGGGAAAGTGCATAACTTTACTGTTGCTTTTGTTTGCTGTTACTTGAATTTAAAGTCTCTGTGATCTGTGCTATAGAACGATTTAGTCATTCTTATGCACATGCAGGGTATTTTCTGGTGAGTGAATAACATTGTTTTGGCTTAAAATGTGTGTGTGAAACTTTTGTGGGGCCACCAGTTACTGTCATATATGGGTTGGGAAGCTGAAAAGGAAAGCTTAACCCTTTAACCCCTATGTAACTTTAGTAGACTCTACCATGTATTGATATGGATGAGTCCATTATGGTCTACAGTGGTGAAAGGGTTAATTGGACAATTGATACTAGAATGTTGTGTGTGTGGAAGAGTTTGACCAGAGAACACAAGTCCTGACCGGTATGAAATCTGTGTATGTGTGTGTGTACGCTCACGCTGCAGGAACAGAAAAGAACACAAGCCTAGGAATTTCTACATAAAAACCTGAATCAGTCAAATAACAGTTCTCATTGAAATCAGCAAGTTGTGTATATCTCAAGAATGATATTAACTTATTCACCCCTGAAATTTCATAATGAACTATTCCAAGGTTGGAAGAGTTTAAATGTGTCATCAGGGGTGAATGAGGTAAACCAGCATATGTTGAAGACCGTAAAGTCATCAGTGATAGACTGTTCTTAAGGTTTTCCTGATTACAGCTTAGTACAGTCGCCGGTACAAAATTTCGCTGGAGAAACAACACGTCGTTTAAGACACAATATATGTCACATAAGCACAGCTTCAACGCATCCGATATATAGTTCAGACTTAAATCTTCAAAACTGACTCACACTCCGTCTAACAGGTAATTTACAGACAAATGAGATTTGTTTAGCACTGGAAGGGCGATCTATTTATAGAACAGTATATCAGGTATTTGTAGACACATCTTTGTCAAGTTGTCGTACGAGGGTTGTGATATCGTAGATGCACAGCATTTACATTAACACGTCAGCTGTGTGCTATTCGTAGAAACATACCTGTCAAGTAACATAAGTCGACACACATCCGTAAATTAGTCGGGTCAGATGGGTGTTGGAAGAAGACGTATTGTACACAGGCAATGTAACTAGTTATATACACTGTACAGATATAGAGAGACGCTGTACAGACTGTACAACAAATGTATATTAATTCAGCACAGTTCATCTTGTAGAGGACAGACATTTTACTATTAAATGACTTAAAATACAGAAAAAAAATCCCTCAAATAGAACAATTGTGACAATGCATCGCTTAAAATGACATTAAACATATAATTTATGCTGCACTCCATTCTTCCGTCTTTCTCCCTCTGTCTTGCTCTGTCTTTCTCTCACTCCATGCTCACAACCCTTACTTACTATCACGGATAAACATGGTCACTAGCATTAGAGAATGATTTAAAACAGAAGATAGGGGAAACAAATGCATAAGTTAGAATATAAATGAACAGCTGATAACATTTAAAACATATATACTAGCCACACACTTAATGGAAATGTTCGACCATGACCACTTTCCGACAGACACCACTCTTCTGTAACCACCTTTCTCCTTTACGCCACACCTACTACAAGGAACGCCTTCATCCTAACAACTCCCTTATTTAGAACACTTGCTTCCCAAACAAATTGCTCACCTTATCTAAGCCTCATTCTGGGATGTCTGAAGCCTCACTTTAAGTTAACATAAGCCTCATTCTTAACCCATTCACCCTACATTTTTAAAATGGACTTGCCCAGTCTTTGATTTGGTATGGTTTAAATGTGACTTTTGGAATAAATGGGTTAAAAGACCATGTATGTAGCTTCGCTCTGAGTTAATATTAGCCTCATTCTGAGTTAACATTAGCCTCATTCTGAAAAAACTAAAGGTATCTCCAACATGACAAGAAGTAGGAGATTTCAGTAAACATACTCAACACAATGATGTTTAACTCCGCAAGATTTGCATAAACAAAGGCTGGTAGACACTTGTGATTGGAACATTTCACGGCATCATGAATATTCATCGGTAGAGATGTCCATTAGAAGCTGGTCACGATCGATAAAACTCATCCCACAGTGTATGTATCACATTCTATAGTTATACACGGAAGAATATTGCATTAAAAATTCCTGTATGACGACTAATAGCTATAACAGCACACTGACTAAAACAACGTACAAGGCTGACTTGTACACCGGATAAACCGTGTCCCTGGGACATCACAGCTCGTACAGGAGATACACAACATGGCTGCATATACCACGGGCATTGGTACGTAAAGCTTGTACAGGTGGTCAACAACTTCCCTGGGTACAATGTGGCAGCGTAAACAGCTCCCCTGGATACAATATGTGGAATCATAAATAGTACCCTTGGATAACTAATGTGGCATTGTAAACAGTGCCCCGGGTTACCTACAGGAGGTGTACCTAAGCAGTGGGTACACCATGTGGCATTGTAAACAGTACCCCGGGTTACCTACAGGATGTGTACCTAAGCAGTGGGTACACCATGTGGCATTGTAAGGTAAGGTACCTACAGGTGGCACTCCATTTTCCATTGTACAACCAGTTCCTAGGAGCGACTGCATACACTGGGCATATTTGTGTACACTCAGAACTACGACACCCACAGAAGGTACATCTGATCTCTGGGTAAACCTGGGTACACCTGGGTACTATCTGTACTATGACCTGTATAAGTTATACATGTTCAATGCACAAGCCTTACTTGTAGAACTTCTTTACACCAGACAGAGATACCAGGTGCAGTGACCACACCTGTACAAAGTGACCAGTGACCAGTGACCACACCTGTACAAAGTGACCAGTGACCAGTGACCACACCTGTACAAAGTGACCAGTGACCACACCTGTATTAACTAAGCTATGGCCACACCTGTGAAGCTGGTACAGCCAGACCCGTGAACACATCGTCTACGACATGTGAGATATGGATTATACAGGTCACTAGATATCTACAGTCATTTCCTCCAGGGCGGCGCCACCTTCCACCGTCAGACGGTCGAGGTCAGGCTTGTTGTCCAGTACACACGAACTGTCTATGAGCTGCCGGTTGTCGACAACAGTATGATCCGTGGTGGAGAGAATATGGTCACTTTGTGTCGTTTTATTGTCAGTGTCACTATTACATTCCCTCTCAGTGTCCCGTTTCTCCACCTCCTCCCCCTCCACATCACGCATCTCTACATCACTTTCCGTTAGATTATCTCCTTTCTCACTACTCTCAGTGAGGTTATCTCCCCTATCGGAGCTCACTACCATGTCCTCCTCCAGTCCACTTTCCCGTCCTGCACCACCCTCTGTATCGAGGCGGTCACTAGCGTCCTCATAGTCTTCTAGACTATCACGGCGACCATCTGTCACATCACCGTTACTCTCCACCACAGGAAGTTCCTGAATCAGGTCTTCCACGATCTCCGTGATCTCCTCCGCAACTACTTCGACCACTCGATGTACTGCCCCATCCTGGCTGTCACCAGAAGGAAGAATCTCCTCCTCTGTCAGAGCTGGTGGGTCCCGGTCATCAACTGCCTCATAATCGGGTGGCTCCGCTACCACCAAGTTGTCTGCCATGATGTCCACCATCTCCTGTGGCAGTTCTGTTGCCGTGGAAACACTGTCAGCCTCAGGGAAGTCCATCTCCATGGCATTGACTGGTTCCACATTTTGAAGCTCAACTAATTCCTCCTTGGTTACTTCTGTAACATAACACATCAGCAAGGTTAAAACAGTCTGGAACAAAGTAATATCAATTTCAACACCATTAAGGAAACTAGATATAAAACTCCCATATTCAATTGCTTTTTGAGCATTGGTTATTTATAATTGTGACATGTTCAAATGTGAAAGGCATGGTATATGAGTGTAGTGTTATTTGTGTGCTTGTGTGTAGTGTTATTTGTGTGTAGTGTTATCTGTGTGTGAAATCATACCTGTGTGAAAATTTGCTTATGTTAGTGTTACCATTGTGTTTTTTCAAGGATTTTCGTTGTTAATTTTGACAAGGTTTTTTTTGCAAAAAAACTATTACCATGAATTTCATTAAAAATATGATCCAGGCAAAAATAAACACTGACAATATCTGTGTGTTACCTGTGTGTAGTGTTACCCTGACAATATCTGTGTGTTAATTACCTGTGTGTAGTATTACCCTGACAATATCTGTGTGTTAATTACCTGTGTGTAGTGTTACCCTGACAATATCTGTGTGTTACCTGTGTGAGGTGTAACCTGTGTGTAGTGTTACCCTGACAATATATGTGCGTTACCTGTGTATAGTGTTACCCTGACAATATCTTTGTGTTACCTGTGTGTAGTGTTACCCTGACAATATATGTGCGTTACCTCTGTGTAGTGTTACCCTGACAATATCTGTGTGTTACCTGTGTGTAGTGTTACCCTGACAATATCTGTGTGTTACCTGTGTGAGGTGGAACCTGTGTGTAGTGTTACCCTGACAATATATGTGCGTTACCTCTGTGTAGTGTTACCCTGACAATATCTGTGTGTAGTGTTACCCTGACAATATATGTGCATTACCTCTGTGTAGTGTTATACAATGACAATATCTGTGTGTAGTGTTACCCTGACAATATCTGTGCGTTACCTGTTTGTAGTGTTACCCTGACAATATATGTGTGTTACCTGTGTGTAGTGTTACCCTGACAATATATGTGCGTTACCTCTGTGTAGTGTTACCCTGACAATATCTGTGTGTTAATTACCTGTGCGTAGTGTTACCCTGACAATATCTGTGGGTTACCTGTGTGTAGTGTTACCCTGACAATATCTGTGTGTTACCTGTGTGAAGTGTTACCCTGACAATATATGTGCAATACCTGTGTGTAGCAATTCCCTTACAATATCTGTGTGGAACCTGTATAGTGTTACCCTGACCATAACTGTGCATTACCTGTGTGTAGTGTTACCCTGACAATATCTGTGCATTACCTGTGTGTAGTGTTACCCTGACAATATCTGTGTGTAGTGTTACCCTGACAATATCTGTGCATTATCTGTGTATAGTGTTACCCTGACAATATCTGTGTGTTACCTGTGTGTAGTGTTACCTTGACAATATCTGTGCGTTACCTGTGTGAAGTGTTACCCAGACAATATCCGTGTGTTACCTGTGTGTAGTGTTACCCTAACAATATCTGTGCGTTACCTGTGTGAAGTGTTACCCTGACAATATCTGTGCGTTACCTGTGTGAAGTGTTACCCTGACAATATATGTGCGTTACCTGTGTGTAGTGTTACCCTGACAATATCTGTGTGTTACCTGTGTCAGTATCAGTAGAGTCTACTTGTGTGAGTGTTCCATCTTCTGCAGCATCTGATACAGTCGAGGCCACCGAGATAATACTGTGGGGTCTGTTAAGCGTGACATCAGTGGGCGACGAGGACGACACGCGTCGCTGGATTTCCCGCAGCATGTTCAGCTCATCCTGCGCAGCCTTTAATTCATGTCGCAGTCGTTCTCGCTCATCGTCACGGTTGTTGACCACCGCCTATGAAGAAAGGTAAATATAATTTAACGAAAAAACACATAAATTGATGATGCTCAGAATTCACAAAGCTTAAAAATTAATATTAAATTATCCTTGAATCCATTCTGTTTTATTTATTTTTCTCTGAAATTTAATCTTAAAATAAACTAAAAAAATACGGAAAGTTCTGCCATAAATTTATTCAGTTTTGACCTTTACTCTTCAGATGTATTGTGTAATATATTATAAGGAATCCAAGCCCTTTCAAGGTCTCCTCGAAAAACTGTGTTCCATCTTCTGATAGATTAACTTATTACACAATTACTATTATAAGGTTAGTTGACAGTAAGTTTGTGTTGAGGGATCTCGGCTGATATTCCTTGGATTATAAACTGTGATATTACGTAATATTAATAGATATACATATTAACTAATATAAATAAATTATTTTCCGTAATAATTATCAAGCATGCAAGCACATGATATATAAAAATCGCACACAGGGGAATACTCCCCAAATAAATAAAATCTGGTCATTTTATACAAATAATGTTCCAACGTAAAATCACACTTGTACACAAATCGTAAAATCGTAACCAAATGTTGAAGTTGTCCGGTGCATTCAGTAACCAAGGAATGCTACAGAGCTACCAAAGCCATGCTGGGTCACACTCAGTCTAAACACCCGTCACTCTGGGTCACGTTATCCTGGGTACTACACACCCAACAGTTTGTGTCAATAATAACGCTCGACAGTCTCCGACACAAAACACACCAGACATACAGAGCACAGGTAGCCATGCCGCTGAAGTATCATGTACTTATCAGATATGTGAAACAGGGTACTACACACCCAACAGTTTGTGTCAATAATAACGCTCGACAGTCTCCGACACAAAACACACCAGACATACAGAGCACAGGTAGCCATGCCGCTGAAGTATCATGTACTTATCAGATATGTGAAACAGGTATTTCCAACCGGATTAATTTATGTTGGTAACGTCAAAACAATGGACAAATTCTGCAAAAAATACTTTTAGAGAAACTGCGAGTAAAAGAGGAATTCCTTCAATTTTTGTATTTTGAATTCACCAGGAACTCGGCCAATCAGATTGCATTGTTAACGATGTATTTTAATGGTAAACAACACTTTTGTATGATTGGTTGAAATTCACTGTTGTCATGGTGACCAGTACTTGTGTTTGATTTGTGGAAATTCACTGTTGTCATGGTGATCAGAACTTGTGTATGATTGATTGTAATTCACTGTTGTCATGGTGACAAGAACTTGTGTATAATTGATTGTAATTCACTGTTGTCATGGTGATCAGAATTTGTGTATGATTGATTGTAATTCACTGTTGTCATGGTGACCAGAACTTGTGTATGATTGATTGTTATTCACTGTTGTCATGGTGACAAGAACTTGTATAGTTTGGCTATAACTGTTGATATAGTGACCCGTGCTGGTTTATGATTGTTTGCGATTGGACACGAAGCTGATCAAGTATATCTGACACTGTCTGGGTCTTCTAAATAACACTCCGTCTCTCTACTGTACAACCCTTGCAGTTCTTCTAAAACAAAATTCTCAAAATCTTTCTACATAAATGTTTTATCTAAAAATATCTATGCTATCAAATTTAGCATACACACATTATACAAAATACAACTTCTCCTAGACAAACTCCGACCATAAAGCATATTTGAATACAAACAGTATTGAACAAGATTCACTATTAAAAAAGGTTGTATACATAGATATTGTCCTAATACAGATTCTATGCAACTTAAGATTTCATGATACAAACAAAAGCAGATTTTATTAAGCAAGTAACCGATTGGATAAAAGTTAGGTCACATGACATGGAGAAACTCAACAAATCGTGGCGAAAGTTTTGCTGGTCTGTGAATCAGTCTTGAAGCATGCATGGCTATAGTCAACAGTGCAAAATCTGCAAAAATGTTTGCTTTGCGAGTACGCAGCCTCTGTAGCGAGTACCGAGTCCCAGTATTGAGTACAGGGTCCAGGCCTAACATTATATCAGCCACAGTCACAATTCTCCATACTCAGAACAGGAAGTGTTGTCAAATATACAGCAAATTCCGAATTTATGGTTAATGTATACTTATTTGCTTAATTCTTTCAGTACTGTGGATGATAAGAAGACATTTCTATCCCAAGTGCCATATGCCTTCTTTGAAACACAGGTTTACCTGGGGTGGGGGTTTATACTAGGTGGAACATATAGATACAGAATGAGTTAATGGTTCTTGTTTACACGGAATTAGTATACATGGTGTGTTATACATAGTGATAATTCCTATATCAGTGATATCTTACACCTAGCACTAATATGGCCGATACCCTTGACAAAACTTAAGTTACCCAATTACATCTGCAATGACACAGCTGTGACCAATGTGTGTTTCCATGACCGATGCAATACTTTGTACTCAAGTAAGTGTGGCCATGATCAATGAAATACATTGTACTAAAGTAAGTGTTTTCATGACCAATGAAATACCTTGTACTTATAAAGTAAGTGTTGCCATGACCAATGAAATACCGTGTACTTATAAAGTAAGTGTTGCCATGACCAATGAAATACTGTGTACTTATAAAGTAAGTGTTTTCATGACCAATGAGATACCTCATACTAAAGTAAGTGTGGCCATGACCAATGAAATACTTCGTACTGAAGTAAGTGTGGCCATGCCCAATGAAATACCTCGCACTGAAGTAAGTGTGGCCATGTCCAATGAAATACCTTGTACTAAAGTAAGTGTGGCCATGACCAATGAAATACCTTGTACTTATAAAGTAAGTGTTGCCATGACCAATGAAATACCATGTACTTATAAAGTAAGTGTTTTCATGACCAATGAGATACCTCGTACTAAAGTAAGTGTGGCCATGACCAATGAAATACTTTGTACTGAAGTAAGTGTGGCCATGCCCAATGAAATACCTTGCACTGAAGTAAGTGTGGCCATGACCAATGAAATACCTTGTACTAAAGTAAGTGTGGCCATGACCAATGAAATACCTTGTACTTATAAAGTAAGTGTTGCCATGACCAATGAAATACCGTGTACTTATAAAGTAAGTGTTTTCATGACCAATGAGATACCTCGTACTAAAGTAAGTGTTTTCATGACCAATGAAATACTTTGTACTGAAGTAAGTGTGGCCATGTCCAATGAAATACCTCGCACTGAAGTAAGTGTGGCCATGACCAATGAAATACCTTGTACTGAAGTAAGCGTTGTTATGACCAATGAAATACCTTGTACTGAAGTAAGTGTGGCCATGACCAATGAAATACCTCGTACTGAAGTAAGTGTGGCCATGACCAATGATATACCTTGTACTGAGTTAAGTGTTGCCATGACCAATGAAATACCTTGTACGAAAGTAAGTGTGAGAAATACTCTGTACTTTGTAGTTAAAGTAAGTGTCAATGATCAATGTAATCTCCTATACTATAGAATGTGTTGCCTTGACCAATGAAGCAAGCTGTTCTTTATCACTTTTACCATGGCCAATGAAATCCCCTGTATCATGGTGTCTTTTGACCAATGATATTGTGTGTACTATGGGGTATATGGCTCTAATGAATAGAACTGCTCTTCCTGGTTGGACTTCAACAGTAGCCAATGAGATAACCTGTATTAAATGTGACTACGGCCTGACCAATAACAGTGTCTGTAATATGGGGATGCTGACCCTGGATAATTACATCACATATACCATAGTGATTGACCTTCCTTTATGAAAATGCTTGTACTGTGACTGTGGGCCCTAATCAATGATAATGGTCGTACTATGATGACTGTGGGCCCTAACCAATGATAATGGTCGTACTATGGTGACTCTGGCGCTAACCAATGAAAACCTCCTTTCTATGGTGCGAATGGCCCTGACTAATGAAACTGTCTGTACTATGGTGACTGTGGCCCTAACCAATAAAATTGCCCTTTCTATGGTGGCTGTGGCTCTAATCAATGAATGTCTTTGTACTATGATGACTGTGGCCCTATAACCAATGAAACTGTCTGTACTATGATGACTGTGGGGCCTAACCAATGAAACTGTCTGTACTATGGTGACTGTGGCCCTAACCAATGAAACTGTCTGTACTATGGTGACTGTGGCCCTAGCCAATGAAACTGTCCGTACTATAGTGACTGTGGCCATGCTGTGTTAGTAGAGGTAACAGAACTAGAGATGCGGACTCACTGAGGAGGAGGAGGAGGAGGAAGCGGGTTGTCCCGCAGTCAGGGCAGAGTACGCCCTCGTCTTTTCCTGTCAGAACAAATATATATATGACATACAGCAATCTCTCTATAGTGTTAATGACCCAGAAACCATTCTCTCAGTTACAACCTGTCAGATAGGTCTGAGCAATCTCTGCTGAAGGTATTTCCTTCCTGTTAAGAAAGGTTCCAGTAACTTTTATTTGGAAAAATATCCTGGTTCATTATGGAAAACATCTTACTAACCCTTTCACCACTCTGGACCACAATGGACTCATCCAAATAAAGCTATGGTACTTAAGTTACCTCGGGGTGAAAGGGTTAATTGGAAAAAAAAATCAATATGAAATCTGGAAATTATACTTTTAATCTATTCGCTTCATTTCACAGATCTGTATCAAAAAAACTTTTCTTTGAGGGAAAACAATTTTGGGATAAAACCAAGAACTTATTCAAATACATTCAAATATTTTGAATCTATTATTATCTTTTATTTTTGCACAATTTAAACAAGGAACAAACATACAGCTATTGCTGTGCCTCTATAAAATTGAAATAAGATTGAGGAATTATTGCAGAATACACAATCATGAATGAAAATTCAATTACAGAATCTGTTCTAGGTATTATAACAAAGCACCACACTTTTTTGGACTTTTTACAGAAAATTGCTCAGATCTTTATAGACAGGAATACAGCTAGTATCTGCATAGCCAGCTGACTGTGAAAGAAGATTTAAACAAACATATATTGTTACATCTTCGACCTAAAACAGAGTGAAGACTGTGAGGACAACATGCCAGAATCCTACCATAGCGAGCTTTTTCTCAGGTGAGATTGGTCGACACACCTTCCCAATCTTTTTCTCAGGTGAGATTGGTCGGCACACCTTCCCAATCTTTTTCTCAGGTGAGATTGGTCGGCACACCTTCCCAATCTTTTTCTCAGGTGAGATTGGTCGACACACCTTCCCAATCTTTTTCTCAGGTGAGATTGGTCGGCACACCTTCCCAATCTTTTTCTCAGGTGAGATTGGTCGGCACACCTTCCCAATCTTTTTCTCAGGTGAGATTGGTCGGCACACCTTCCCAATCTTTTTCTCAGGTGAGATTGGTCGGCACACCTTCCCAATCTTTTTCTCAGGTGAGATTGGTCGGCACACCTTCCCAATCTTTTTCTCAGGTGAGATTGGTCGGCACACCTTCCCAATCTTTTTCTCAGGTGAGATTGGTCGGCACACCTTCCCAATCTTTTTCTCAGGTGAGATTGGTCGGCACACCTTCCCAATCTTTTTCTCAGGTGAGATTGGTCGGCACACCTTCCCAATCTTTTTCTCAGGTGAGATTGGTCGGCACACCTTCCCAATCTTTTTCTCAGGTGAGATTGGTCGGCACACCTTCCCAATCTTTTTCTCAGGTGAGATTGGTCGGCACACCTTCCCAATCTTTTTCTCAGGTGAGATTGGTCGGCACACCTTCCCAATCTTTTTCTCAGGTGAGATTGGTCGGCACACCTTCCCAATCTTTTTCTCAGGTGAGATTGGTCGGCACCCCATCCCAATCTTTTTCTCAGGTGCGATTGGTCGGCACACCTTCCCAATCTTTTTCTCAGGGGAGATTGGTCGGCACACCTTCCCAATTTTTTCTCAGGTGAGATTGGTCGGCACACCTTTCCAATCTTTTTCTCATGTGAGATTGGTCGGTACACCTTCCCAATCTTTTTCTCAGGTGAGATTGGTATTATTTTTACATTATTTTTTATCATATTTTCAAAGAACTCCTGCAGCAATACAGAAAAAATTACAATTTCTCTGTCAAAGCTGGACCAATATTTTTTTAAATGTCACAGATTTTTTTTCTCGGATAAGATTATGATCAACTTAACATTATTTTTATATTTCACCAAGAACACCTGCAGAATTACTGCCATTTGTATACAATTTTTCTGTTAAATCTAGACCAAAATTTTCCAAAATGTTAAAGGATTTTTAAATAGACAATGGGTCAAAGGGACCAACAAATTGTTTTTGAACTTTGAAATGTCACATGTTTCTTAACTGAAATTAAGTCATAACCAGTCATTATAATAAGCACTAGGATGTTGCCAAGACAATTGTTTGCATATTACGTGGACATACTGTATATGTCCTTACAAGAAGAATAAGTACTGAAATTCTACCAGTATTAGGATATGTATTGCAAAAACTCTTATTACCAACTCATGTTTTAAAATTTGATAACACATCCAATCAAAATAGGGTTGTGAAATTCTACAACAGTGCTTGCCATTTTCTATGAGCAAACATACGTCCGAGAGCATGTTCTGCTATTTTTAGCACTGTATATATATAATGCATCAAAGATGGTCTAAAAGGATTAAAATGATCATACAGCCAAATTTGAACACCACTAAAACAGTGAGTTTGCAGTATTTTCAGTGGGATGACTAAAAATAAACAAAGGATACTAGGAATGAACTTATTTTATTTTCATCAAGTGATTAAAATTTGAACGGAAATTTAACCCATTGCTTCACCAATGGTAATAGAATTATTCTTTGATAGTTAACTGTAAAAGAAAAGGTGGGGTGAGCGAAAGTGAGCACAACCCTTGGAGTATTGAGGATGCATTAAGGCAGGCTATCCTAGAAGGACATATACAGTATTCCAGGCATACCACAAGAGTTAGAAAATGTACAACATCAGTGACAGATTGTGCTCAATCCAATCCAGGCAAAGACTTCAGAAAAGAAGGCAACATTTTAGTACAATTTCTGAACATGTACAACATTCAAGCTGTGGCCATTGGGATCACCATGGTAACAACACTGAGGCAGTTACAAAACATGGCAGACTACAGATGTACAACGTGTAAGGGGCATCTCAAAACCTTAATTAAACAATAACATAATGACAGGGAGTTCTCAAAATCCTGATCTATACATGTCGATCTAAACATTAACAAACAAATCACGATACGGACGACATCTCAAAATCATACATATTGCTATAGACTTGGGGATGTCTCAAAACCAAATCTATTTAAAAGACATGAGAGTTTGATAAAGGCCTAATATTTACAGAACTAACTAAGAGGCTTACAGTGTTTCTGAAGGCTGGGCCTGAGGGTATGAAACTTAGCAGAAAGTTCAGGCTGTTACCAATAAATGATTGATGACAGGAATGATAATTACCATAAGATTAAAATGCCATGTACCTGATGATTATTCAGGACAGGAAAGGCAACTTACCCTGCATTAAACATTGTATTAGACAAATTTTGGACAATTTTCAGACAAGGGAGATAACTTACCAGCAGGTTGGTGAGGATCTGGTTCATCCTGTTGGCCATCTCCCTCAGTTTATCCATGGGTATTGGCATGGACAGGTCCTCCTTGGCTAGACCAGCTGTAGACAAACATGACAGGCTTATATTTAGCACCACACACACTAGCCATCATTTGCCTGAACACAACTCTTATAAACTGTTGGGAGATATTTTCAAATCATCTCGTATCTACAGCCATGTGTATGGGACACCACCCAAGTTATTTTGAAAAATATCTCATTTTGGAAGAACAAGTACAGCCTATTGAGCTGAAAAAGCTTTGAATAACTAGATCAAATCCTTGCAGGGAACAATTTTGAGATTGTTTTTTTAAGATCATTTCTGTCCCAAAATATTTTGCTGCCTAATTCAACTTTTCAGTAAAATATCATGCAAAAAGATTAGGTCGAATTAACTTTATATGAAAGTCATGCAAGTTCCATTTTTTGCCTAATTTTTTTCCAATTTTTTTTCCTCGCATTTGTGCCTGCTGTCTAAAACCACAGCAACAGCAGACGTCGTTTTCATGACAATTAACTTAAGTTTTGTATGCGACATGAGACTGACTTCTTGAGACTACTGATTTTTGTGTAAATGACAACATACTGAGGTCGTTTCTGTGATGACACATTGGTAATTTCTGTTACCATGACAACAACCTAACGTCATGTCTGTTATCATGACGACAGACTGGTAATTTCTGTTACCTTGACAACAACCTAGGGTCATGTCTGGTATCATGACGACAGACTGGTAATTTCTGTTACCTTGACAACAACCTAAGGTCATGTCTGTTATCATGACGACAGATTGGTAATTTCTGTTACCTTGACAACAACCTAAGGTCATGTCTGTCATCATGACGACAGACTGGTAATTTCTAGCTGTTACCATGACAATAGCGTGAGGTTGTGTCTGTTATGAAGATGATAGACTGAGGTATATCCGTTTCCATGAAAACAGACTTTTTATTAACCAATCATATTGCAGTTAGTGTCTACATAACATTCCAACTGAACTAGTTGTTAGATGGCAGGCTGGTAAAACACAGAAACAAAAGGAAATGCACACATGCTGAAGTAGAGCAGAAGGCCAGCTACCACACCCTCGGGGAAATGGTATACACCCACTTACCCTCTCAACCCCCTCACACATCACCCCTGGGGATGGGCGTGGGGATGTATTAACCCAATTAACATCCACACACATCACCCTCAGGGACTTGGGATGTAAAACACAGTCATCAACCCCACAACAACATCCTCGAGGACTGGGGGTGTATACACCCACTCAATAACCCTACATAACACCCCGGGAACTGGGGATATATACACCCACTCAATAACCCTTCATAACACCCCGGGGACTGGGGATATATACAACCACTCAACAATGCCAAACCCCGGGGATGTATACACCCACCAAACAACCTCAGGGACTTCAGGGTGTATACATCAACTCAACGACCCCACAACAACGTCCCCGGGGACTGGGAGTGTAAACACCCACTTAACAACCTCACCCCCAACTAAGGGGTGTATACACCCACTCAAAACCCCCCGACAACGTCCCCGGGGACTGGGAGTGTAAACACCCACTCAAAACTCCCACAACAACATCCCCGGGGACTGGGAGTGTTAACACCCACTTAACAACCTCACCCCCAACTAAGGAGTGTATACACCCACTCAAAACCCCCACAACAACGTCCCCGGGGACTGGGAGTGTAAACACCCACTTAACAACCTCACCCCCAACTAAGGAGTGTATACATCCACTCAAAACCCCCACAACAACATCCCCGGGGACTAGGAGTGTAAACACCCGCTTAACAACCTCACCCCCAACTAAGGGGCGTATACACCCACTCAAAAACCCCATAACAACATCCCCGGGGACTAGGAGTGTAAACACCCGCTTAACAACCTCACCCCCAACTAAGGGGTGTATACACCCACTCAAAAACCCCATAACAACATCCCCGGGGACTAGG